TGGCCCTCATATGTGGGATCCGAACCGGGGCCCTCTGGCATCCCAAGCGAGTTCTTAACCATCGCGCCACTCGGCCGGCCCTATTTTATTTTTTTTGAAGAAAGAGTAATGCTTGGTCTTGCTATTTTGCTTGACATAACTCGCCAATATTTATCCTACAAGTGAATTCCAGGTGCCTGATAGGATATTTGTAATGTAATATGTGAATTAATTTCCCTGCACTGCTCTTTCTGTGAAGGCAGTTTCCCCTTCATTTTGCCCCAAAATCTTCCCTTTGAAGCCCTGCTAAGTTGTTCGCCTCATTAAGAGTGTGAAGTTTGACCCATTCCAAAGGTGCTTCTTTTTGAATTGATAGAAGATACTCAAAGACCGCGGCCCCTGCTCAGTCAGCAGCGCTCAGTGCCTTGTTTCCGTGCTGCAGAGGGAGGCGCGACGGCTGCCAGCACCGATGGGCCTGTCCACCTAGAACACCCAAAAGAACCTGAAGCTAGACTATTCGAGTTCATAAGAAAATTTAGCAAAGTTATTACATAGAAAAAGCAGTTGTGTTTTTATGTACCAACAACAAGCAGCGTTTACTAGAGCACCAAAAAATGTCAAATATTTGGGAAATAAATCTAGTAAAAAAGAATTTGTAAGAACACACACACACACACACACACACACACACACACACACACACACACACACACCGGGAAAGTAATAGAAATATTACTGAGAGGCGTCAGAGGAGTTCTGAATAAATGGAGCAATATACCATGTTCACAGACTGGAAGATTCGCCATCATAAATACATCACTTCCTTCAAACTGCTCTGTAGAGTCAATGCAACCTCAACCAAAATTCTGGCACTTTTTTTGGTGGAATCTTACAAGCTAATTTACTTGAAAATACAAAAGGCCAAGGATAGTCAAGACTTATTGGAGATTAAGAAGACAGTTGAATGCCTTGCTCTCCCAGATAGCAAGCCTTTCGTAAAGCTACTAATCACGGCAGATGGTCCTAAGGCAAAGGTAAGCAAGACCAGAAACAGCCATGTGCGTACGGGCACTCGTCGTGTGACATACCCTGGTCTGCTCAGGACAGCCCCAGGATGCGCTATTGTCCTGACATAATTTTGATAGTACCTTCTTAAATTTTTGTGGCTCGAACAACAGATTATATGATCATCATGGACAACTGAAGCAGCATAACAGCAAGAAGAAAGAGTCTCTTGAGTACATGGTGCTGTCACAACTGTATGAGGTCTGACAATAAAATTTGTGAACTTGTAACAATGTTGCTAACCATTTTTGATATCAGAGGGATTGTTCATTATGAATTTGTACCAACTGGACAGTTAACCAAGTTTACTATTTGAAAGTGCTGAAAAGGCTGCGTGACAAAGTTAGACGACCTGAGCTTTTCATGGCTCTTGCATCACGACAGTGCGCCAGCTCACACGGCACTGTCTGTGAGGGAGTTTTTAGCCAGTTAACAAATAACTGTATTGGAACACCCTCCCTACTCACCTGATCTGGTCCCCAATGACTTCTTTCTTTACCTGAAGATAAAGGAAATATTAAAATTTTGATGACATTCAGGACATCAAGGGTAATACGACGACGACAGCTCTGATGGCCAATCCAGAAAGAGTTCCAAAATGGCTTTGAAGGGTGGACTAGGCACTGGCGTCGGTGCGTAGCTTCCCAAGGGGAGTACTTCGAAGGTCACCGTAGTGATATTCAGCAGTGAGGTATGTAGCACTTTTTCTAGGATGAGTTCACGAACTTAATTGTCCGACCTCCTATATTCACAAAGGAAAAGGAAATTGGATTTCTGCTTCCCAACATACAAAAAAAAATTCCAACTCCAGGTATAATAAAGACCTAATTATGAAAAGTAACATTTATAAAGCTTTTAGGTGATAAATCAATGCTTCTGTGATGTTTACTAGTGATGGCTTTCTTAAATATAATAGAGAAAGCATTAACCATAAAGGAAAAGATTGATAAATTCTACCACCACCTGCACAACGAAACAAACTTCCATCAAAGGACGCTATGAAGAAAACAAAAAGATGCGCTAGACAGGGGGACAAGGTATTTGCGACACACACCTGACAAAGGACAGCATCCCGAGTTCACTGGCCGACACCCAGGAGGTGCCCCGCAAGAAGCGTGACCACGCGCTGCGCAGAGAAGCCCCGACGGCGCGTACGTGTGGGGAGCTGCTCCGCCTCGAGCCCCAGCATGAGCAGCCGGAGCCCCTCTGCACGCCCATCAGAGTGGGGGCGTGGAGGGCACCAGGGTGGGGGCATGGAGGGCGCCAGGGTGGGGGCGTGGAGGGCACCAGGGATGCTCGGCAAGGCCTGTGGAGCCGTGGGCACTGGGCAGGGCTGGCAGGAGAGCAGGCTGGGAAAGCATGTGGAAGACGGTGGCATTAGCTGCAAAGGGGAAGACACGTACCCTGTCAGCCAGCCGTCCCACTCAGAGGTATGTGTCCTAGCCAGATGAGGCACGTGGGCACCAGGGGACAGTTAAGGATGGTTCATGGCAGCCAGAAACTGGGCCCCACCCAGCTGTCCTTGCAGATTAGAATGGACCGGTGTTAATACCTTGAGATGCAGCCCTACTATGCACACCATACAGCCACCTGCAGCAATGGGGGCGAAAGAAGTCAGTCCAAAGAGGAAGCTGAGCCTGGCAGAGCAGAACCGAGGTGGCCAAGCTGAGTAAGGTGTGGGGGCTGCCGCCAGGCCCCTGGGCACTGTGACCACCAGCCCAGGACCAGAGTGCTAGTGGCTCAAAGGAGCCCCCTCAGCCCTGGCTGCTCGTCTCACCTGGAGCCCAGTGCCTAGGAGCATCACGGCCTGGGGACACAGGGTGTAATTTTAGGTGTGACCTACTGGTTCCAACAGAGGCTGCTGTGCTCCCAGGGCGCCAGGAGTGCAGCCATCACGAGGCTGCTCGTACCAGTGTGGAGGCCCAGGCACAGGCACCTAGGAGGGAGGCGGCACGTGGGCGGGACCTGGGCACCTGCGTCTCACAGCCTGAGGGTCGGTCACCTTTTACTCTGCCATCCATGGTGACCTACGGTGTACAGACCCCAGGACCCCCTAAATGGGGTTGCAGGGCTAATCTGGCCGTGTGGAACCCAGGAGGCCCCTCTTTTCTGGACAGAATCGCTGGTGGGCAGCCCTGTTTTCTGGGGCTTCTAAAGAAGCATTACCCTTTTGGGGAAGCACACCTGAGCCGGTGTCCCCGGCCAGCTCTTCACTGTCACCTAATTCGAGGCGTGTCAGATCGGCGAACCCCTGCATCAGCTGCTTCAGCACAGCACCAGTCCCACGGTGTCACCCTCTGCACCTCAGTCCCCTGAGCACCAGCTACAGGAGTGTCACCTGCAGCCCCGGGCCAGCAGCACCTGCTGCCCTCCCTCTGCACATTACCTGAAGAGGCTGCATCTTTAGTGGAAAAAAATTCATGCAGTTCAGTTCCATTCACATGAAGGTCAGAAAGGGGCAAAATACACACTTGTTTAAGGATGCTGACCTAGGAAGTGCAAGCATAAAATCGGGGTGTAGTTAGCTCCGGAGAGGGGGGGCGGGGCCTCCTGCAGTGTGGGCAGTGCTTCTTTCATCACCCAGGTAACAGTTACTCAGGTATTCAGTTACACTTTTTCATTAAACTTAACATTTATTAAACTTACATTTTCCGTATATATGTTATACTTAAAAAGTAAGAGAAAAGGTTACTTTTTTAAAAAAGAAATTTGCCTCTCCCTCCCCCCACTCCCTTGGTCCACTTCCTCTTTCCAGAAGAGACCAATATTATTAGTTTCTTTCGTGTCCTCTAGAGACAGTCTATGCATTAAAAGCAAATCAGCATGTAGAGTTCTATATTGTTTCTCCTTCCCTTTGTGCCTTTACAAGGATTGTTTTGCACATATTAGCAAACGTGTATGTGTCTTGTCCTTTTTATGCAAAACTAGAATACGGTATAGAATGTTTGCTACCTTTTTTCATTTCACAAGTGTATTGAGATCTTTTGATACCAGCCCAGAGCATTCCCTCGTGTTTTTATCAGCTTGGTGCTCCATTGAACGCTGTCATGAACTTTATTTAACAAGTTCTCTTACTGATAGACATTGAAGGGGTTGCTGACGTTTTGCTGGTACCAACAGCAAAAAGATTATTTATTATTTACTTAATAAATAATCACTACATCTATCATTTTGCCTCTGTACAGCTGTACAATCACGTCCCAGAAACAGACGTGCTGGGTCAAAGAATTTACTCGACAGATTTTCCAAATGGCCTTGAACTGGCTTCACCCCCACCAGCGATGGGGGCCTGGGCAAAATACTCTCTTCTGACACATTTATACAATTTAAAACTGTATAATGTTAATGACAAAGCAGGCGCTAAGTGGCCAGAAATGAGTCCTGAAATTTTTGAAAGTGTGACACCCCCAAATCTTAGGCCTTTCAAAGGGTGCAGCTCAGGAAGCTGACCCCTTTTTTTTTTTTTAATCTAAATGTAAGCCCCCAGAAAAATCTAAATTTTTCCCCAGGAAAATCCAAGGGAGAGAGATTGCTACTCTCACTCCCCGCCCGGGACAAGTTTTGTGACTGATTTTTCTGCTCTGTCTTTGCAGTCAAATAATTTGGTAATCCATTCTGTGCTGCAGCACTTCCACAAAGTCCATGCCTCAGAGGGGGCCACGCCCCACTTCGTCACCTGCACCGTGGAGCACGACTCCATCCGCCTGCCCCTGGAGCACCTGGTGGAAGAGCAAGTGGCTGGTGAGTGACCAGCCTGGCTGGACTCCAACGGGGACAGCTCTCCTGACCTTGACTGGGCCAGTGGATGCCCCGAGGTTTCTCCTCAGGAAGCTCGTGGTGGTCAAGTGTGGAACAGGTCACGGGCGTTCCCGAGGGATATTTCCGACTCTTGTGTAATAAATACACACATATTTAAAGAGCATGTCTATATAACGCTAAATGGTGCTTTTCATCATTTGATTTTAATAATTGAACTTGGCTTCCACTTCCTCTGTTGTGAGGAAAAAGGATCGAGCGGATATCAACTTCCGGTGGTAAAAACCAGAGTAATTACACTCCTGCTGCAGGACACTCTCAGCAGGAGCCGAGGGCTCAGTGTGAGCAGGACAGAGGACAGGGTGGCGTGGGCCTCACCGAGGGACAGAGCGCAGGGTGGCGTGGGCCTCGC